CTAACTTGCGTCCGTCCCTTATGTATAATCAATAAGGATTATGGTCCCCTATTTAGGGAAACTACCAAATAAAGCTCAGGAAAGACATTGAATGGAGGCAATAGCCATCGGGAGATCATTGCCAAATACAACCCATCGTGCAGGGGCCTAAATAATACTGTAGTCTCCTTAGACCTAGAATAGAATTGCTTTTTAGTAAAAATTTCCTTAGGGTTATACTGGAATGAAAATAAAACTATTTCCTGAGGGGAATACAGAATAAGTCCGGTTGTTTAGCAGTGGACTCCCGTTATATAAGGATTATAAGGAAAATTTGGAGACGGTAGTTTCCCGAATTGAGGGGCCCCCAATATAGACCCCAAAATATGATAATCCTTATTACAGGGCCCTGATTTTGGGAAACCCCCAAATCTACCAGGTTTCTATGAAATAGTATCAGGCACGCCTCACCGCCCCCGCTGAGGTCATCCTCGCTCTGGTCATCCTGTGATGACAGGAGTTTAGGATTTAGGGTTTAGGGGTTTAGGGGTTTAGGGGTTTAGGATTTAAGAACGTACGATTGATACTAGAGATGCTGCACGAGCCTACAGTAAATACCCCAGACTCTTGGGGGTTTGAGGATTTCCCAAAGCTAGGGTGTTTTAATGTTGTATACCGCAACTGCAATATGAGTATGAGCCCTACTACAAGGATACTGCATGATACCTAAAGGTAGATCTCCTAAACGTCATGCAGGATGTATATTCTGAAAAACGCGGTTAGTGAACACAACCCTGCAGGACCCCCTGCACCTAAATCCTGAGAATTATGGCAGCACGGAACCCAGACATTACAATTTGTTGTTCAGGATTCTGTCTTAAAAACATAGTATGGATTCTAAGCAAACCAAGCTCCACTCGGATTGCTATCACAAAACATGCAGGAAATCCTCACAAGGGATACAATTATTACGACTATGACTACAACTACCGCAACCACGCCGGTAGAGTCTACCACCGGCATTACCATTGCTTCTTTCCGCACTGTTCAGATATGAGTTACAGTCAACGTTTCCCGCTGCAATGTCCATAGACATGGTTTGTTACTAAGTAATAGATTATGGACGATACTCAACTGTCAAATGGATCCCTGTGTCCACCCTTGATGGTCCCTTGCTAACCCTAATATTGACAGTAGCTCACATAACTGCTACTACGAATACTTATTTACACCTTGTCCTCCTCCCGACGCAGTTGCAAGATACGCTTCAGCGCAGCAGGGAGAACCGCATCATCTTGCGGCCCTTGTTCCTGCAGAAAGATGAGTCAACTTATCGTTTTGCGTGGGCGGCGGTTCACGAAGGAAGGGGATTTTGGGGCCTACATCCTTGGCCTGCAGGCGCACCGATTATGATTATGGCCGTGACTAAGTGCAAGTCCAAGCCGTGAGGCGCCTGTTAATGCATAGAAAGTCGTGCACTTGTGCGAGAGACACGCTAGCGCTTATGACTGCTGGCTAGCCTTCAAGGTTCAGCATGGCTGTGCCTGTAGATTCACTGTAGCATAGCAGTAGGCCTAATGCAGAACCTAGTACTGTACAGCCTCCTGCAATGTAGCTTCCCGGTGCGTCGGAAGAGCAGAGGTCACAGCGCTGTCCTGGGCAAGAAGCACTTTGTGCATTAGCAACATCCGCTTCTTGTTACGGTCAAAGAGCTAAGACCTCAAAAACTTCAAACCCGAAAAATTCTTGAACCCTCGAAACCCCAATGCAAATCCTAAACCCTAAATAGTAGTTTCCATTTTCTCTCCATTTTCCCCCAAAAACCTCCTCTTCCGCCGGCCTCATAGACCTCGGGCACGGCCTCAGAGTCCAAAGGCTCCGAGGCCATCGGCTCCGGCAGCGACCTATCTACGGCCACACGACTCAAGCCCTTCCTACTATGTCTACTTGGGGACCCAATGTTTCCCTATAAACCCAATATAATCCCTGTAGTTTCCATTTTCTTTTCCATTCTCCCTACATCACCCTATATAACCCTGATATACCCCTATACAACCCTGTATATAGTTTGCCGGCTGGGGTTTAGGGTGTTGGTCTAATTTGTGACCTGTGGGGTTGCAAAGGGTTGGGGAGCCTGTTTGTACACGGCTTCTGTGAAGTTAGCTTATAGCAACGGCATAAACAGATAATGTTGCTTATCCAAAGTCCCCGGGTCCCTTAAGGAATGCTACAAGTGTTTCTATTCCGACTGCTAGTGCGTGTGTCAGTTGCTGTTGTTTGTTGTCTACCATCATCTTCATTCTCATTGTCTGCGTGCGGTCTGTGGCTAAGACTAGAACTATTTGTAAATGTGTTGCAGCTTTTCTGATTTGCTGCAGCCCCTGTGGAAACAACCGTGGATCCTACATCTAATTAAGCCTGTCTTATCCAGCCCTCTACCAGGAGCTGCCAAAGATATACCTTGCCTTTTCCTGCCCATTTCGTGATGTGCTTTCGCGTTGCATCTAAACGCCCTCATGGCTCCATCTGAACATACTCCAACTACAGCTGCTTCTCCTGAGCCAGTTTATGTCGCCAGGACTTACCATGCCAAAACAAGCATAAGACAACGGCTAAGCGAACCGTGCTGTAGCGAAAGATTGTTTTGTCCTTCCAGCATTTGAGCGGTGCAAATGCTTGGATGGCTAATGCAATGCCTGACCAGGCATACCCAGACCACTCCAAGACTTCTTGGGATCAGGCATTAGGGCTTCCTGGTTGGGGGCTTCTGATGGGTTGTGGGCTTGGGGCAAGATGAGAACTGCCCTCCCCTTTGGAGTCTCTGCTGCGGCGTGAAGACTGCTCTTGTTGTTTAATGAATATGTTTGGTAACTTGATTTCGGCTCGGACTGCTTGCAGAGTTGGAGACTTGCTTACTTCTCGTAGCTAAACATTCGGCTACCTGCCTTATACATTCATGCACATTATTGACGTTCATTGTCATTGCTTGGTAAAATTGCTGCAAGAATCCGCCTGTGATTCTTGTTGCTACTGCAGTGGTTGTTGGACAAAGCCATCACGGCTACCATGGACACTGTGGCTACGAGCATGGTGATTATCGATGTCGAAGGTTACTTACTGGTTCTTTGGTAAGGAACTAGGGAATACAATCCTTATATAATCCTTATATACGATATTCCCATATTCTCTAATTACTAAGAACCAGTAAGGTTACCCTAGCTGCCGTCTCGGAATGATCCGCTGGGTCAGGTCTTGTGCCTGGCTCCCGATCCCCCGGTCAGTGTTCGGCCGATGCAAAACGCCGAGGAACGGGGGCTGCAACGCAAGGGCTGCTCTGTCTACTGGTTCTCGAATGGGACTGGGACAGCGCACCGTTGCAACCCTCTTGCAGGGAAATATACCCTCATTCAACCATTTGTAGCCATACCCAGCCAAGAACCAGCAGTTTTAAAACGGGATCCGGGGTCCATTAACGACCACGACGCGCGCGGCTCAGCGAACTGATATCCCCTGGTTTAGCCTGCGGACAGGATTGAACATGTTGCACAATGACTACCTACCTGCTGATGTTGAAAAAAGCCTGCCTCATCCCCAGAACACCATAGAGACTCTGAGTTGATAGGGCAATGCCGGATTCATCAACCAGTAGGGACCAGTAGTATGAACGCAACATCATCCTGGTTACCAAGATGTCTTGCTTCGCGATCACAAGGTCAGAACTCTTTTGATCTTTCTTGCCACGACAAGTCTCCGTGCCAGAAAGCATGGATCAAGACGGTCTCACATTCATTCCACCACTGTGGTTGATTCATTCCACCACTGTGGTTGCTCTGTTTGTCACAAGTGGCGGAAAATGTGCCATCACTATCTTTCCTTAGTTTCTGCTACTGTTATGAATTAGAAGTTCTGCTCATCACCAGGGAGATCATTGCCACTCTTTGTGTTGCTGTCAACTGCTGCTGTGCATTGTTGCAACATTTATCAGCTTTCCACGTAAAACTGCTACCCCGCAGCCCCACCCCCACCCAAACCACAAGCACCAGCGCCAGTGCCAGTGCCAGCGCCACCTACGTCTTGTTGAAGATTTACGGCTGCATGACAGCCAATGGTACTATCAATACGATGACTATAATAACTCCTGCTAGTACTGCCACTCCTAGCCTAGCACAACTAGCATCACAAGTACAAGTAATGACCTGCGGGCAAACAAGGAAAGATAGGGACCTCTGGTAGTAAGGAAAGCGACACAATCTTAGATCATAACTCATATCTTAGGTGGACCCCCCACCCTGTAATAGTAGATATAAGGGATGATAAGGACCGTATTAGGGTTCTCGTACTTTCCTATGATTCCACACTTGCAGGGTGTGGGGTCCCCCTAACCTACATCCATTCAGATGCTAAGCGGCAAGCGGTCGACAGAATGGATTTGCATTCAAGGTCAATAATTCATCAGTAGTGACCCCTGAATTCCAGCAACGCCCACTGAACTGGACAGAAACACAGGGGTATGCTAAAGAACCCCCAGAAAAGGAGCCATCAACCTAAACCCAAGCGCAAGCCTCACAAGGATAAAAATTGTGGGCGTTTCCATTTTCTGCATTCCCCGAACAATGTCCCTACTCAACCTTAGCTTCGATTTCAGTGTCCGTGTGATTTACATCTTAAATTTGATTCCCCATTCTTGGGGTTATAAGTATGGGGACCTTCAAGCTCAGCTCTGTCCCACCTCTGCAGCAGCTGATCCACACGGCCTTTCGTTTCAGGCGCTTTTGTGTGGCCAACTCCAAAAGATGACTTTCAGTGGCCGCTGACCCTTGATTTGGATCAAAAAACACTCCAAGAACACCTTTAGCTGACCCTCCCCCGAACCAATATGGAACCCCACAAACGGACCTGCAAGAGTCCGGTGCCTTTCAAGGGAAACTCCATGGGGTTCCATGTTAGTTTTGCAACAAATTCTGGGAAGACACAGGCCTAGAAGTTACTCCTTTCTCAATTGCACCCTAAACCCCAGTCCCTTCGGCATCCCCCTCCTGCAAAACAATTCGCATCAAGGAGCTGACTGCGCTCAACGGCATTCAAGGTTTAGAGGGTTTAGGGTTTAGGGTTTAGGGTTTAGGGCTTAGAAATCCTAAACCCCAAACCTTAGGCCTTAAGCCCTAAGCCCGAAACGACAGGTTCCGGGCCTTAGCTGTGTGGGAATCCAAGGAATCTTTGCAAGAGCCCTATTGCCGGCCTCACTGGACATATGGTACCTGTTTCATGAATAGGGGACCCCCAATATACTTACTGGGGTCAGTAAGGAATAAGGGAATATAATATATAGGGATTATCTAAGGATTATACTATATTCCCTTATGTACCCTTAATTTTGGGAAACCCCATATTTCCGCTTCATGCTCTGGGGAAACGTCAGGAAGCAGCAGCTAATCCAAACAAGTTGCAGTTGTGAAGAATGAGCGCCCCGGCATATACCCAAGGCCTTTTGCTAAGATCCCCAAAGGCTGAAACCCCACCTTTGCAAGCCACAACCACCTCCCTTCAGTCCAAAATTTCACGAAACTGAGGTGATGACTCTTTTCCCCCGGAGGGAGGAAGCTGCTAGCCGCCTGGGCAAGAAGCTCTAGGGCCCTAAAGTTATGGGTTTGTGCGCGAGGTTGCTTGAAACCTCATGGGCCAAGCCTTACTTGCAAGCAAGCTTGGGGATAATCATTCCATACTACGCCGTCATTGGGCTGTAATAACTACCCCTTTAGGAGGACTGCTTGTGGACAAGTTGGTTGGGAAACTTGCCCACAAGAATGGACTGGTTTTCCCAGCAGGGGACCTCGCCAGACTCGCCAGCTTAGGGAATAAACCCCTGAAAAACACCAGAGTTATCATCCTTCTTCTGGAAGCTGTGGTAGAAGCTGCTCTTCCTTACAAAGGGTCCTGAAAAGACTACTTGGATCATTGCGAGTTCTGCTACACTAGACAGTTCTCAGTATGGACTCTTCCCATGCAGCAGCCAGCTACCAACTGGGAGCCGGAAGCAGCAAGATGCGCAAACAGCATCATGAACAGTGGCATTTACTGTGCATTCATATGGGGGGATGTCAAAATTATGGTCCCTTTTTTGGGTACCCTAAATATTAGGTGCCGTATTATAATAGGGATCCAAACAGGGACCATAATTTTGACAACCACCCATATGACTTTCCCTTTTTCTCCGAAACAACTTCCTGCTTCAGACGTTCCCAAGACTCAAACCTGAAACTTCGACAGGTCAGAGCCATACTTTGCCTTCGATGCTGCGACGCACGTCTGCTTTACCCGACTCTGCTCACTCCAATCCCACAAAATGCGGCACAACACCAGACAGAACAGACACATCAAATCTCCTATATAAGCTGCAGGCTAAACTCCCAGTATCCCCTTTAACGGCCCCTATAATACTCCCTACATAATCCCCTAGATCACCCTCTTTCAAGAGTTTAGACTATAGTACATATCTAGACCGGACCTCGGAATAGCCTAAGCCTTGAAAAGCCTTTTGAAGCCTAGTATAAGGTGTTTCTCAGAGTGGTTTGGTTCAAAGCTTCGTTTTTTGTATATCGAAGGTTTAAAACGGCTCTCCGACATTTCTGTTTGGAGCTTCCTGCGCAAGGCCTGAAAGATCTGAAGAACCAAGGGCTCCTGCGTTGGCACAATTTCAACCCTATGAGTTTAGGGTTTCGAGTTCAGGGTTTAGGGCCTCCGACAAGAACCAAAGATTGAGCCCTTTCTGGAGCGGAAACCTAACCCCTAGTTCATCCCCAAGCCCCGACCCCCAACCCCAAACCCTAAACCTCGTACCCTAAACCCTAAACCCCAAATCCCAAACCCTAAACTACCCCCACAGTCCTT